AGCAAATAACAAATCCTGAAGCTGAGAGATTAATAAAATGGTGCTAAAATACCACTGTTGGAATTTGGGTTTGGATTCAGAGAGCTCCTGGCTGTGTTTGTGCTGTCTTTCCCTGTAGCAACTTTATCACAGAAATAGGTGAGAAAAGCAATGTAATGTGTTAGCAAGCTTTTCTGATATGACTTGCCTTGCTTGCTGTATGATCATACTATATATGATCAAATCTTTGCATTTTATTAATAATCATGAGCCAAGCCTATCAGCAGTTTCTCATCTCTAGCTGTCTTTGCAATTTACAGCACTTTTTGTTTGGGGTTTTTTTGCTTCTTTTGTCCAAACTTAGCTTCAGAAGTGCTTTAGGATAATCCAGGAGGAGGGTTGTTTCCATAGGCCCAAAGAATTTGTTGCTCTGAAGTGAGAGTGGAAATAGTGTATAGATGCACTGAATCTCAAGGCTGATTTTGCTGTATCCTTTTCTTTTTGAGAACAGAATTGTATCTTGTTTATTAAAGTACTGTAATGATTCCAAAGTGCCCACTCAGTTTCTGTTGTGTTTGGCAGGACTTCCTTTAAGGCTGCTGTTTTCAGCCTGCCCCAAAATGCTCAGTTTGAAGAAGAAAATTCAGTGGGTTTGGGTACACTTGGGAGCTGTTCTGTCTGGCATGAAGTGTTGAAGATACTTGATGTCTCCAGGACAAAAGGATTAGATACTAAAACCACACAACTGGAGATGCTCTGTTTAAAAAAGAAATAAAAGAAGTTGTATATGACTGAAGGTCTTGAACCCGACATTAGGATCCCAATGACGTCCCTTTTTAATCCACAGTTTGGGTTTACATTTGAAGGTGTACTTGGTGTCCTTTTTGTTTGTTTCCTTAGTGAAGGGGATTTATGATCAGAGTGTGTAGGGGGGTGGGATAACTGACATGTCAAAAGGATAAAACTAGGCAGAGAAATCTCTCTGTGTATGTGTGTTTATATTTATACACACACACATACACAAAGATGCATATAAACTATTTCCATGAGCTTACCATTTGGGCTCCTGACAGTCATTGATACAACAGTCAAGCTTTCCTAACATCACTGTAACTTTACACTATTTAGAAGATGTCAGTGGGTTCATTTTGCTGCTCTTTTCACCCCTTCTCATCAATTCTGTAACATGATCATCGGTGAACTAGAATGAACAGGCTTTTTAGCAGCTCATGTGCATATGTTGGATGAAGGTTCCTCCTGCTGCACATCCTTTGTGCTACGTACAACCTGTGGCAGGCATGCCAGTGTTACTTAGTTGAGGAAACTGTAGATTAGGAAAAAAGTGACTAATTATGTCCAAATGCTTTTCCAAAAGCAATATGATAGTGTTTGAGATGTAGTCTTTGAATGTACCTTTGGTAGCAACTGGCACATGCTTTGAAGATGGTTCTTCCTCTGAAAAACCACCTCCTTCTTGCAAAAAGAAAATAAAAGGTAATGAGGATAAAAAGGAAAAGATGCATCTGGGAGTGAAAAAAAGGCATTGCAATGTAAATGCCAGGTAACAAATCACCTGTTGTGCAACACAGGGGAGAGAGGGGAAGCACTGTAGTGTCTGTTACAGCAAGTGGGGCCAGATTTTATTTCCTTAGTGCCAGATATTATGCCATTTGTTGACATTTTTTCTTGTTTGAGTTAACATTTATCTCCTGCTGACTGGTTACTCATTAACTGATGTGACTGGTGTTGCAGTCGTATGAAGGAAAATTACCCACAGATTCACTGGAGTTGGAATTCTTCATCAAAGTAATTATTTTCAGTCTTCTTCTGTCAATGTGGGACTCTTCCAAACTAAGACTCTGTTCAGGAAGTGGTGCACCAGGAAAGTGTTTCTATATTAACTGTGTATGCAAGAACAGGTAGTTTGACTTTCTAATATTTGCTTGGCTATGGGCAGACTGCTATGTCTATGTGCATGTATGTGTATGTGCCGGGCACTGGTCGGGTAACTGTCTGAAAATGAAGCAAGGCATTCCCATGTTCTGGTATTGCTTCTTACTACATGAACATGCAGAAGCTAAATGTACTTTGTTTGTGTGGAACTAAGCAATATTAGTTCGTTCTTACCAGAGTAAAGATAGTATTGAAAGCTGGTTGCAAATGTCTTTCTGTAGATTAGCTGTAGCTTCAGTTGAGGGATCAGAAGTCTTTCTGAAGTCTACTTTTGTGCAGTTGGTACAGAGGGTATGTGACTTTTTAAACCAGTGAATGAGACATTTTTACTTCATTTTCTATCTCTGCATTGATACTGAAGTCCTGAAATCTTGCTTTCCAGCTCTGTACTCTTAAAATGCTGATCTTGTTTGGGTACATCTGAAACCCTTTCCAGTCAGGAAAGATTGGAGTCACTCATATATCCTCAGCTTAGGTCACCTAGACCTCGTGATAGCCTCTGTTATCTATGAACACGTCAGCTGTTTTGCTTCTAACCTGTGTCGGGATTAACAGCAGAAGAATTTGCTGCAACTGCTTATGGAACTAAAATTGGGATGCATAGAGATCTTGGTTGTTTTGCTGCTTTTGGGAAGAAATATGCTATTTCTGTATATAGAATAGGAAAAAAATGTCAGTGCACATTCAGTAGTTCAGTGTGTCATGCACTGAGTTTTGTAGCTTGAAAACAGTAGCAGTACATCCAAGTCTTTGGTTGTGTAATGCATTTGGAGTGCTCTGCAGTTGAGTGATAGTTAAACATAGTGGTAAGTGGCAGTGTGCATAGGGATTGCTGTATGCACAAGAAAGGGCATTATGTGACTTCTTGGTAGTCCTAGAAAAGAACCATCTAACACTAGTGGTGATCTTTGTAAAAAGCAAGTGCAAAAGACACACAACCAGAAGAAGATGGAGTCTGTCTGTGAAGTCAAGTGGCTGTGTGTAGCTCTTGTAGGTATTGTGAAGCTCAGAGGAGACAAAGTCAAGTGTTACCGCTAACGTTAGCTCTCATCTTCTTACAGCCCTGAGACAGTCTGAGTTATCTGAAAAAAGATTCCACAGATCTGCCAAAAAAGAGCCGTAACTCTCTGCTGAAATTCTTTTCCAGTGGATGTCCGAGTGCTTGATTCCTCCAGGGTTTTGAACAGTGGAGGGAAGGGAGAGCGCAGGGATGACATTATGTGCTCCAGTGCTGACAGTTTTATTCCCCAGTGGTTCTTACCATTAATTATATGAGCATATAATATCAGTTCATCTCTGCCTGCAAATTCCTTTGGTGTTTCCATGAATTCCCTCTTATTATAGGCAATGAGATGAAAGTAATTGCTGAAATGTCAGTTTTCATCTATTTTAACCTTAGGTGTTGCTAATGAGAGCACTAGCATAACCTAATTTTTAGTTAAATACTAGGTAATGGCATGGTCAGGACACCTGGAGACAGTCTTTCCTCCATAGATGCAGTGTTTTCTGCTCATAGTGATGGTGCAGGATTCTTCCTGCCACTGACTGCTCTGCCTGGTGGTTTGCTGCTTTGGCTTGAAAGGAGGATTGGTGCTTGTAATAGGAAGTTTTACACGCTGTGTCAGGCAGGAGGTCACAGAGGCAGATGTCTTTGCTTTCAACAGTGGGAATGCTATCATAGCAGCTTAGTTAACATCTTCCATGTGTTTAGTATGGTGTTGGCTTGGATAGATTAGTGAATCTTAAGTGGCAGTCATGAAAGGAGCTGCAAGTCCACTGAGGAATCAGAGGATGCAGCAGACAACCTTCAAGCGTTCGTATCTGTCCTGTTTTCTTTAGGGATAGTGTGGAGATCATGAGGAGGCTGGGAGATGAAAATCAGTGTGCTTCCTCTTTTATTGTTTTCCTCTTTCTGTAAGTATTTTGTGATTTAAGAAGTGTTGAGAATCAGTTATATATCTGTTTTCACAAGCAATTATGGAGGTCAACACCATCCGTTCCATGCTAGTGGTTAAAAAAGCTGTTCCTGAGTGTTTAGACTGGAGTGGTCCTGGTATAGTCAGGTCTATCTCTTTTTCTTTGTGCTGCCTACAGGACTGAAGTTTCTCTTTGCTCTTGCAGCTTGCTCTGTTGCATGGACTACATAATCTTTTTTTATTATTCTAAGGGTTATAAATGTCACATGAGGACCCTTCTGCTCAGTAATCAACTCTGCTCAAAGCTCCATCCAGCACTGGTAGGGATGGGGCAACCATGACAGTTTTCGTTGGGGTTAACCTCAAGGTGCTTGTTAAAATGAACATGCATGATGACTGTCACTGAAACTCAGCTGAGTGGTGTCAGTTGATGAACCACAGTCCCCTGATTGTATGTGCCAGGTCTGAGAGTACTTTCCATATGAGGTTAGAAAGAAGCTTTTCCCTGGATCATAATTTAAACCAAATCAGCAATTATTTTCCTTTGTTTCTTGGAGTTCTGAATATTCAAATGAGGTTGGTTGTATTGTATTGATTTTTGGGTTTTTTTTGCCTTTGGTGTGATTTACACAGAACATGTTCTCCATAGTGTTGTAACTTGGAGCCAAGCCTCTGAAATTGTGAGTCCACAGAATGTGTTGTGCTTACTCTGCTCAGCCCACACCCCATAAAAAATAAATCCAGAACAAGGGAAAGGTATTGGGAATTGCTGAAGTTCCAGATTACTAGAAAAGCAGAACACTTACTTAGTATAGAACTTGTATTAGAAGTATGCTGCAAAGGATGGAGGGGGTGAGAAAGCACTCCCTGTTTCCCTGCAATATGTGACGTGAGGAAAGGCATTACTCTTCAGCCTGTCGGCACTGATGACAGCATGGGAGGGAGGCACTGAGTTAGCATTAAGCTGATGGCAACTTTTCAGTGAACTGACAGAAAGTAATACAGCTGAGAGCAGCTCTGGACACTCATGTTCTGCACCTGGTCTGGTTAGTGCCCCTTTGATTCCACCTGAGGGAGCTCAGTCAATGGGATTGGGTCATCTCCAAAGGAATTATCCCTTTTTCCTTATTTTATTATTATTTTTTATTCCAGGTGGTGACACCCTGCATCTTTCCAAGTAACTACGAGCTGGTAAGTATTTTGACATTACTGATACCCATCAGGTTTTATTAGGTTATAGGTTAGGTTATTCCTGTAGCCTCCTATAATCTCATGTTATTTCAGCGCTGTGCCATCCCCTTCCCTGTGAGGGCTTGGCAAATCAAAGGTCTATTCCTGAGGCTTGTTACTGTGTCCTGGCCCATGCAGAAATCTGGTTGTTTAATTAATTGAGTGTTTTGCAAGGCTAAGGATTAACTCAGCAAAATGTTTTCTGCTCTTTAGGATTCTTCTTAAACTGAGCTGGGTGACTTGCCCATGATGTAGCAAACATGCTGTTGTCCATATTGCATTATCTGCTTTTGTTTGTGTGTTCTAAATGAAAAAAAGACATTAATTGTTTCAACGTGCTGCTGTCTCATGTTGATTTGAAAGTACAACTAGTGGACAGCTTGGTTGGGGCCTGTTATCTTTTTTCATGGTGGAAGAAACAAGTTACAATCCTAGAATCCCAGACTGGTTTGGGTTGGAAGGGAACTTAAAGCTCATCCAGTTCCAACCCCCTGCCATGGGCAGGGACACCTTCCGCTAGACCGGGTTGCTTTAAGCCCTGTCCAACCTGTGCCTTGAACACTGCCAGGGATGGGGCAACCACAGCTTCTCTGGGCACCCTATGCCAGTGCCTCAGCACCCTCACAGGGAAGAATTTTTTCCTAGTGTCTAATCTCACTCTCCCCTCTGTCAGGTTAAAGCCATTTCCCCTTGTCCTGTCACTACATGTCACTAAGTTAACGCCCACTTGCTCAGGGTAGGAAAATAATAAGCCTTTTCTGGCTTGTGTGACTGAATTTGGTTATTTTAGCTCCAAGAGTAGTGTGAATGATGCCTGTAGGTTGGGGTGTAAGAGTTATTTATTGAACCACTGTTGCCACCTGCTAGTGTCATTACTAGGACACATCAACCAACAGCTGATGCCAGAGCGTCAGACAAGAACTCTGGGTATTGTAGGTATGTGATGCAGCCACTGGTAATTAGGAATCCCACATCCCGCTTCTGGCTTGTTATGTGAATTGGCCAAGTCAATTTGCAAGTCTTTGTGTCTTAATTTCCCTGATGGAAAAATATAATGGTAATGCTACTTGCCTAATATGAACTACAGAAGTAAGAGGGTGCTATAAAAGTTGTTGGCTCATGCTTTTCTTAATTATTATCACTTAAAAGACAGGCTGGAAATCTAAATCAGTGATTCACGGTACTGTGAGGAATGTGGATATCAACCCATGGGATGTATCTCCTAATTTTGACCCAGTAATTTTATGAATTAACCCACGTCAGAGTCTGAGGATCCTGTATGGCATTACTGCTAAAAGTATAAATAGAAAAGAAACCCTTCCTTATGCCTGCAGCTTCACAGCGTTAGATGTGTACTAGCAACTGTGGTTGCTATTTCCTTTGTGTTGTTCACACAACCTGAATATTGATTCTGATGTAGAAAATTTGTTGTTGTGATTTGGGAACAATTTTAAACATCCAGTAACCTGGGGGATTCGTTACCAGTCATCACTGTTAATGATTCTGGCTTAATTTGGTTTATATGAGTTGTGAATATGGGGCATTGCTGGTTATGTGGGCCCGAGTGACGCTGTGACCTGCTGACAATTGGACAGTCTGGGTGGCAAAAGTGGCCTAACCTGTTTTAGTTTACTAGCAGGGATATAGCCAGTTGTATGTTCAGCCCCTGAATAAAACATTTACTAGTTTTAGGCAGAAGGGTGCAATTCTATTTAAATTTCTTGCAGGAAGAGCTGCAGGTGAAATATTTTCGCTGTATAGTGTGTAATAAGTTGTTATTACTGAGAGGGAGACGGAGCAATGTGTTTTGCTTCTCATGTGAAATGTGGTTTCATTTTTAGATTAGGAGTCTGCCTTGTGTTCAAATAAATTGTTTAGTGAAGAGTTTTGTTGCTTTGAAGGAGGATAATCTGTGACCATATTGGCTGTAAACGCTTTCACAACTACTTTGAGTACAAAATATTGAGAAGATGAAGAATAAGTAGTTGAGATCTTTAAATAACTCTATTGAAATTAACCAAATCACAGTTTGTTGCTGAACTGTGAAAGTACTCCCACTCATTCCAGCCAAGGAATTTCAACCTTAGTTCTCACATGGATAAACTACATGCACACACAGTCTAAGTTAGTGCTACATATCTTAGCCAATGTAATGGTTGCCTGTATTGCTCTCCTTGAGGTGTTCTATAGCAGGAACTGTAGTTAAACTCTGTGGCATGTTTGCTGGGAGACTGTTGAAGCCTGGTGAAACTCAGATGCTTGTTTTCTTCAGAATGGGGGGCTTATTGATTATTTTCAGCTTGGATGTCTGTTTCCAAAGAGGCCCTTGCTTCCAGTTTCTCATGAGATATGTATCTTGAGGCTTTGTAATGACATCAGGACCCTCATATATCAACCCAATGCAGCTGTTAGGAGTTTCAGGTGCTAAAATATAAACCAGCTGCTGTGCTGACCGGAGCAAGGGGGACGATGTTATTCCAGCTCTGTTAATTCAAGTCGTATGTTTAGCAAAGATGAATTATTGTGGTGTATTTCATTTCATGAAGAGGCAGTGGGTTATTTGTGACAATGGACATTGATGCATCATAGCATGACCCAAAGTTTTTAAAAAGGGGAAAAAAAGGGTGATGTAAAAGTGCCATGGAGACTATTTAATCTAAGTGCTGACTTACAATAGTTCCTCTAATAACAGCCTCTATAACAGTTCTCTTCAAACTGATAAAAGTCAAATATGGCAAGTGTTTAAACAGCCTTTTCTGGAATTGTTAAGTCTTACTTTGAAAGATGGTGAATTACTCAGTTGGTCTTATTCGTTAAAATCAGTATTTTTAATGTAACAATAAAATTGCTAACAAGTATGGACATTTTTCTTAAGTTATTTTTTCTAGTGCTGCAAAAAAAAAAAAAAAGGAAGAGAAGGCTTAGGCCCTCACCTTAAAGCTCCAAATACTTTTCATTTCATTTATTCCTTTAAAAGGCCAATGGAATGGTATTGTTTTTGAGGTAATTTTTAGATTCCAGGAAGTACTCTAGGGCAGTTTAAGGTGCTTCAAGAGGGCAGCAAGTTTGTCTCCTTTACTGAGTGCTTTTTCCTTTCCTTCCTTCATGATAGTGTATCTTTGAAAAGAATAAAGGAAATAAAAACTTGATTCCTCAGAGGCCCCCTCACACATCTGGCCAAACGTCTTGCAGTAACGAAATGCGGTATGAAGCCCCAAACCTCCTTGCATAGATGGATTCTTATCTTCAGATTATTCCATTGGTTGAATGGCCTTTATCACTGCATGACTTGTCTGTCAGTTTTAAGGCCGGTTTAGTAATGATCTTTACCAGATAATTTTCTGCTCTAACCTTTATAACCTTTTTTCTTTCCACTCCCTCCTTCTATTCCCCCCCCCCCCCCATATTACCAAGGATATCTGCAAACCTGGGATGTTGCCATTAAAACAGCACATTTCATAACCAGTTGTTCTAATGTGGAAAGATTAAGTGGACACCCAGCTACTCACATTTTGTTGTACCATCACTTCAAACTAAAGTTTGTTTGCCTATTTTGCTGATTCTGAGCTGGGAGTTATTTTGATAGAAATTGGGAAGGGTGGGATGGTGGTTCTGCTTTTGTTGTTTATTTAACTCCATTTTCCTGAAGTATGCAAGCTGCTTTTCTGCTTGTGAAGGGAAAAATCAAACTCACATTCAGGCCCCTCCTAACAAACCAAAAACTGGATTTGGAACAGTGAGTCAGACTTCTTTGGCCTGTCTCAAAAGAGGAGGGAAACAGAATGAATCTGACTGTGGGAGAAAAGGGGGATTTTTTTTCTCCCATATGAAGACAGGCTGAAAAACGTTGGGGCTATTCAGCCTGGAGAAGAGAAGGCTGCATGGAGACCTCAGAGCAGCTTCCAGTGTCTGAAGGGGGCCTACAGGGATGCTGGAAAGGGACTCTTCATCAGGGGCTGTAGCAATAGGACAAGGGTGATGGGTTCAAAATGAAACAGGGGAAGTTCAGGTTAGATCTAAGGCAGAAGTTCTTCCCTGTGAGGGTGCTGAGGTGCTGGCATAGGGTGCCCAGAGAAGCTGTGGCTGCCCCATCCCTGGAAGTGTTTAAAGCAAGGTTGAATGGGACTTGGAGCAGCCTGGTTTAGTGTGAGGTGTCCCTGCCCATGGCAGGGGGTTGGAACTGGATGATCTTAAGGTCCTTTCCAACCCAAACCATTCTCTGATTCTATGATTTTTGTGAGATTGGTTTTTTGAGGGTTTAAAAAAAGATAAATAAAAAAAAATATTTATTAGAAGAGTGGGAGAATACCTCGAAAAAATTGTTTCAGAATTGAGCCTTGTGGAGTCGTAAAGGCCTCATTCTAATTGCATATCCCATTTTTCCATGAAAGCTATGGTAGTTTACACATACCTTAATGCATGCACCCAGTGCCAGCATTTCTCAAATTAAAAGTGAATTTTTGTGACAGTGTGTTGTGATACAAAGAAATACAAAACCAAATCCCCAATTATATATGGGGAAAGACAGGAAGAAACCAGAAAACCTTAAGAGAACTCAGTACTCTAATACTGTAATATTGTTTGAAAGAAAATTAGTCCTTTTTACCAAAACCCCTCACATTCCTTTTTCCGTGGAGCCTGTTGAGTGCTCCACGGATGCTTTGTCTGAGAAAGATCGGTAGATAGGATAACATGCATTTTTATCCTCACTGCATTCATTTACTTTTTAAACACATCTTCCCAGAAAACCCAAGAAGAGAGGCAGTCAGTTCCCATGGAGCACAGTCCATCTGGTTTTAATGTGAGCCTGCCAGAGACTTCTTGAGGAATCTGAGGCTGAATTACTGTTGGATGTGTAGATGAAGGATTGCATTCTCCAGTTTCATTTTAAGTGGGACCTCAGTGCTGGAAGACAGAAGATTGTTAACTTGGGTTAATCAGGTGTGACCTTCAAATTCCCCGGAGGATGGTGACAGTGACTAAGCTGGATTAGGAAGTGACATATGCAACGATTTTGCATCTGCCATTAATGATTTTGGTTTCCGGCTTAAATCAGCAAAAGCTGTGCTGGAAAATTGCACCAAGTGGGTTTGATTTGTAAATGGATTTCTGTGACTAATGACTAATTTGTTTCCTTTTTCTTCTTTCAAGCAGTACAATGGAAATCTTATGGCTAACTAGGAAAATACCAATCTCTGTTACTTACAGAGTCTTTTTGGATGTAGGAAGTAGGGAAGACTTTAGCTCACAGGACACATGAGATGCACACAAAGCAAGTGTTACACACACACAGCAAGCATGATCTGATGGAGGTGGAGGGCACACCAAGTCTGCCAGACCTCCCCATTGCTGTGATCTTTCCTGCCTCCTTCCCTCAGTCTCACCAGAGCAGTTCTGCCAGGGAATGCTGTAGGCTGCAGCTGCCTGTGTCATGAGCGTGCCTGCACATCATGGGAAGGGAAAGGCAACAGAGCTGTGTTGTTCTCCAGTTTGTTTGCAAAGGGTGGAAATAGCCAGTGGAGGCTTACGTTTGCCTGTTCAGTTCCTGCTTTGTCACCATGCAGAACCATAATGCCATGTCTCCATGTGAGGAAATCTGTAAGCTTTGAAGAAACCTTTGTGGATGTTTCTCCAGTTCTGGTTCATACAGCTTTCCTGAACTGATGAGGAAGCAGAAATGCCTTCAAACTTTTTCTTTTTAAAACTACCTCCTTCTTGCTATTCAGTTTTACTTTATCAAATTTGGAACTGTGTTGTTTGTTTTTTTCTTTTCCCTTCCTTTTTTCCAGCTTCATCAACCAATAATACTTCTACTTTTCTTGATTTGTGATAGAACAAGAATTGATGGGTTCACACTTAAACAGGGGAAGTTCAGGTTAGATATAAGGACAAGTTTTTTACTGTGATGGTGGTGAGGTGCGCACACAGGTTGCCCAGAGAAGCTGTGTCTGCCCGATCCCTGGCAGTGTTCAAGGCCAGGTTGGACAGAGCCTTGGGCATGGTCTAGGGTGAGGTGTCCCTGCTCATGGCAGGGGGTTGGAACTGGATGATCTTTAGGTTCTTTCTAACCCCAATCTGTGATTCTGTGATTCTATGCAAGATTTTCCAGATTGTGAAATGATTTTTGCATCCCGCAGGCTAAACATGAAGATGGTTTGTTAGCTGTAATGATAACAGTGTTACTACAGCTGCAATGTAGCTTGCTTTGTTTTAGCTTTAATGCTTTCTGAAGAAAACAGTGTTGATTTTTTCACAGAACTTGAACTTGTCTTTTGAAGCAGTATTTTTATGCAGCTGAACATGAAGCATTGCTCTGTACACAGTGGGCTTTGCAGACTTGTGGAGTGGGGAACACTGAGTTTTGGTGCAATCTTACCTGACCTACAGCACTGATTTAGTTCTGGTGTCATTTAGTTTTCTCATTTTGAGTGTTTTTTTAAGGTTAAATACATCTGTTATTTTCTATTATATTTTTATTAATTTATTTATTTATTTTCTATTTTCTATTATATTACCATTATTATACCAGATAGTAAAATCCTTAATTTCAGATATTTTTCTCTTATGAAATGCCAGATCTTAACTTCGTTGAGGTCTTAAGCAAACGTTTTGAGCAAGTATTTTTGCCTGGTGTTACCACTCAACTTCCCCATCACATTATCTTGATTTCATGTTGATTGTAGTTATAAGTAAAAAAGCATGTACTGATGGCAGGTTGTACTCCTAATGATGTGTTGGATTTTTGTAGTAATGGATTGGCTCATTTCTTTTAAAAAGTTTATTTTAAACCTCCTTAGGTACAATTTAGCATATTTTAAAGCCCTGAACAGAGATTTTTCATGTTGCTTAAAGAAAATCCTGGGCAGTTCACTTGATCAGTACCTATACAAGTGTCTGTTTTACATGTAAAAGTATAAAATGAGAGATTGGGCAAAAATACAAAAGGAAATACATGGTTAACAGATACATCTCCATGTATACTCTAGTGGGGAGAAAGCACCCTTAGCAGCTGCATGCTGGCTTACAATACCTGAATACGCAGGCTGATCATATAAAATCATTCCTTCTGTGTCTCTTTGAAAGATAGTTTGGTCATTAATACTATAGAATGTAGAAAGCATTCAGAAGTACTCATTTGTTTGTTGTATGTGTATTTTAGGAGATTTATTAGAGAATATGCTTAAACTACCTGGAAAATTAAAGTAATTTTTGTTAATTTGTCTCATTTTGCAGACTAATAACTCTGAGGCTGTTAAAAATCATGTAACCAGAACTGTAAGTAATTCTGTTTTCTTTCTCTGTCTTTCCTTTCCTTGTCCTGATGTATTCTCCTGTTTGTGGCTGCTTATTTTTAGCCCATCTTCACAAAGCATTCATTGCTAGCAGTTTCAAAGCACTCACTCTGGTTTCTGTGCTGTGTGGAAATTAGCCTTTGATTAGTGGGGGGTTTGCCGCTGGGTTTATCCAGGAACAATGAAATGAACTCGCTGTTCCTTATTTCTAAATCAAGCATGGGAGAAGTGAAATATTAAAATGTTCATAGGATCATTGTATTCACAGGAGATAAAAAATATCAAGAGGGCTCTTTTTCCAGCAGGAAGGATATTAGTCTTTGTATTGTGGTCAATATACAGTCAATCTTTCAGCCTTTATTTGTTCAAGTTACTGTGCCAGGTTATTACAAAACAAATTAAAGGCCCTTTCCCAACCCTGTGTCATTATTCATGTATTACTGTTGGTACAAGCACTAATAAATACATTTGTTGAAGTGCAGTAGGACCCAGTTTTGTAAGTGATGTAGAAATTTCTGCAAATGGAAGTATTGCACATGTTCAGTATGGCTGGTTGGGAGGGGGTGGGCATCGGTTGGTGGGTGGTGAGCAATTGTAGTGTGCATCATTTGTCTGTCTTGGATCTTATTCCTTTCTTTTTGTTACCTCTCTTTTCATTATTTCAATTATTATATGATTTTTTTTAATACAACATTTTACTTTATTTCAATAAACTGTTTTTATCTCATCCTGCGGGTTTTTCCTTTTTCCACAGTTGTGGTGGGGAGTGAGTGTGCAATAGGCTGCCTGGTACTTATTTGCCAGCTGGAGTTAAACCATGACAATCAGAGTTGCCAGGTTTCTTTGATTTTTAACTAAATCATGGAAAATGCCTGTAGATGACTATCTGTTAGTAGGCAACTGTGAGGCAGGTATTTGGTTCCCCACTGTAAAGAGGAAGTTAGCATTGGAAAGGGGGCAGGATAGACTTGCAGCATGCATATGATCGTTACCAACTCATTGTTCAGTTCAAGAGCAGTGCTGTGTATTGCAGTAAATGAGCATCTATTTCATAGTGTTAGTCTTGTGCATGTTGCATTTGTTTTGTGTATCATCTCTGTTTCAGTGATGCTAGTGCCATTCAGTGTAGGGTGTGAAGAGCAGGAGACCTTCACAGAGATTGCATTTGTATTAGCAGCATAGTTTCTTTACCTGGGGTGCAACTGAGGTCATCTCTGTGGTTGGATCCATGCTCTTATTCACATTGTTCCAGTAAAATTATTTCTAAATTCATGGAATCCCAGACTGGTTTGGGCAGGAAGGGACCTTAAAGCTCATCCAGTTCCAACCGCATGCCATGGGCAGGGACACCTTCCACTAGGCCAGGTTGCTCCAAGCCCTGTCCAGCCTGGCCTTGAGCAGTGCCAGAGATGGGGCAGCCACAGTTTCTCTGGGCAACCTGTGCCAGTGCCTCAGCACCCTCACAGGGAAGATTTTTTTTTCTAATGCTTAATCTCAATCTCCCCTCTGTCAATTTAAAGCCATTCCCCCTTGTCCTGTCACTACATGCCCTTGTAAGAAGTTTCTCTCCTTTAGGTACTGGGAGCTGCTCTAAAGTCTCCCTAAAACCTTTTCTCCTCCAGGCTGAACAATCCCAGATCTCTCATCCTGTCTTCACTGGAGAGGTGCTCCAGCCCTCAGAGCATCTTTGTACCCTCCTCTGGACAATCTTGAGCAGGTTCTCCATTTAATCCTGACCCGTAAGCTCTCAGTCAGCTCCTCATCCATCCCCAGGCAGAGCTCTGCACACTCCAGCTAGTCAGTGACATAGAGGTGACACCCCAGCCTCATCTCCCCAGCCTGTCCTTAATGAAGAGCCTGTCTTCAGGAAGTAGACTATCAAAAAGCTTATTTAATATCTAGACCAGCTAACATGTCTAGTGACAGGATTATTTCTTCCTTCACTCTTCCTTAACTAGACAAATTAACTAAAAAAGAGTCCCAATAGAGCAAACTCCATATTTATCTGCATGTGAATAATTCGTTTTGACAGCTGCTTCTAGTGTAACAAATGTGAACCAAAATAATGAGATACGCTGTGAGGAAAATAATTGCAGATAATTTTCTATTGTTAGTTGAAAGTTTTTAGCTTCTTTGTGTTACATCTGAATACTTCAGAGTGCTTTCTATTTGTACTGGTTGCTTTTTATACAAGCCAAGCCATATGTGTCTGCGATTTTTCTGTACATGTATAGCTCATGCAGAGCCATTTCGAAGGCAGCCTTAATGGCAAGCATGCTTTTTCAGCTGTGCCTTTTGTCCTCTTCTGTTTTTTCACTGGTTATTATTTGAGAATTAGCAGGTTTCCTGGAAGTTTTGATGCTTACTTTCTGTGGAGTAGGGAAGGGTGACAGGGATGAGCAGCAGGGGTTCATTTGGAAAGAGAAGAAAGCTCCCACCTGAAACCCAGAGGTAGGAACACCTACTCCTGTTTGGAAAAGAGGTGTAAAGTTGTAAGGCTGGGTGATTCATAAGAAAGTGCTGTTTCCAGTCATGGGGCTAGATGCAGCCGTTGCATCTGTAAAATTGTATAAGAAGTAATACATCAACTATGCCCCATTCTCACTTGAATATGGATTTTACATGCGTTCAGTATTCTCTCCTGAAGAGCCCTTAGCCTTTGCATCTGGGTTGGGGCAATCCCAGGCACAGCTACAGGTTGGCTGGAGAAGTGATTCAGAGCAGCCTGTGGAGAAGGACTTGGGGGTGTTGGTTGATGAGAAACTGAACATGAGTGGCTTCAGTGTGCACTTGAGCCCAGAAACTGGCCATATGCTGGTCTGCATCAAAAGCAGCATGAGCAGCAGATTGAGAAAGGTGATCCTGCCCTTGTGCTCTGCTCTTGTGAGACCCCACTTGCAGCACTGTGTGCAGCTCTGGTGTCCTCAACATAAGGACATGGGGCTGTTGGAGCAAGTCTAGAGGAGGCCATGAGGATGCTCAGGGACTGGAGCACCTCCTCTATGGAGACAGACTGAGAACACTGGGGCTGTTCAGCCTGGAGAAGAGAAGCTATGTGGAGACCTCAGAGCAGCTTCCAGTGTCTGAAGGGGGCTACAAGGATGCTGGAGAGGGACTGTAGTGATAGAACAGATAGAACAGTAAAGAACATCTTTTTCCTATCTAACCTGAGCTTCCTCTGTTTCAGTTTGAACTCATCACCCCTTATCCTATCACTACAGTCTCTGATGATTCTGGTTTCCTGCCCCACTTAGTTCCTTGTTGCCCTGTCAGATTGGTAGATAGAACTCTACAATCAAGTGCCCATCCGTCTTGATAAAGAAAAGATGTCCTACAGTCAGCTCTTTTAGGGGAGCCTAGCCTGCCTTGGCTATGTATTATAGGGAAGAACTTTGGGAGCAGCTTTGTCAGCAACTAAGAGTCAGGATAGTTTTTGGCAGGGAGAGAGCAAGCTGGGATTTGTAACTTTTGCTACTTGCAAGGGGCATGTCTGTCTGGACTGTTGCTCTTACACTACACAGGGGAACAGTTCATTATTTTTATGGAACACAGTATACAGAACAAAACTACAGTGTTTAGCCAAACAAACAGCTGTTTGCAGTAGAAATGTTGATAAATCACTTCTGCAGAATCAACTCCAGAAAAGATATTTTTATTTTCATTAATCTTTTAATATTTACTGCAGGAATAGATATATAATAGCATAGAGACATTTGTATTCACAAGGCATGAATCTTTTTCTACATTAGGAATCATTCTAAAGCCAGAGGCCAAAAGATTATGCAAATCTTGGTTCTCATCCAAGACATCCAAACATGTGTTTCACTGTAGCTTCTAAAAGCCACTACTGTGTCAGTAGGAATTAGTATGGTGGAGCAGCCCAGTGATCAGTGTAGTTCATTGTCCTATCTTTTCTGTAGTGCCCTGGAGCAGATAGAACTGTTGCACTATGCCTTAGAATAGGTTAGAGAATTTCTTATAATTCCTGCCCATGGCTTGGGGACTGAAAAACCATCAAAAATGTTAAAATGCATTCAGGTCTCCTGCTGAGCAGTGTTTCTATTCATGGTCTTATTTGTGACTGCCTGAACAACAAACAGTTGTGTGGAAAAAAACTCATAAGCTAATTAAAAACTGTGTAAAATGCATGTAATTTTATGGCAGGTTTGCTAAGCACATTTTCTGATAATTACATCCACATTAAAAATAGGCACAAATAAAATAGTTATATCCCAAGCAGATCCGTGTCATCCTTTCAAAATATATTCTGAAACCATTAAGTCACAGGTTACTCACTGATTTACATTTCAGATACTTGTAGGTTCTACTTATTGGTACTTACACTTGTTAATCTTCCCATTCAAGAAGGAGACCAGGAAAGATATAGATGAGCTGCATGAATGCATGTCAGATCCTGAATGGTGAGTTTTCAGCAGTACTGTTCCTTGGAGGAGCAGACAGCTGATGGACTCTCAGCTGTTTAAAAAAACCTCGTCCTTGAAACCAGTAGTTCTTAAATTCTGCTGAGATAGCTTTTAAGCAGATATAGGATTATATTATAATTCAACAGCCTTGGGAAAGGCTACTGAATGATTCTGCATTTGGATTCCTTAGCCTGCCCTTGATTCTAGTCTCAAAATGAGTTGTTATCCCGCCTGCTATTTCTAAGCACACATGTGGCCTACATTTCTAGTTTTACTTTGGGTTTGGAAACTAGCAGTTTTACAGAGTAAGGTTTTGATTGTTTCCCAGAGCTATCATATAAAAGGTAGTAAATCAGTGTATTGACAAAACATGAATGAATTTATCTGGTGCAAAACTCATCTCCCTTCACCCTTTGTCCCTTCGTGATCTTTCTAGTTTCTGAAGCTCTACTACAGAAGACTTCAGCCTATGGAGTAAGCCTACTAGTTGTAACCCAGCTTCCCTTATTCAGTTCTCGGAAAGGTTGAGGATGATTGTCATGCTGAGAGATTTTAATTATTTTTTACTTGCTGTTCCTCATTTCTTTCCTTGAGAGGCAGCTTTTTGGCATAGATGAGGGGATGCACACTTAGCAGAGAGGTTGTTTCTTATTCCTTCTGTTTCTGGACTAGTGCAGAAGGTGCCTTAATGCCATTTCAGTGCATGTGAGATGGCGTGTACTATACCTGTGTCATGTTTTTGTTCTGAAGCTGTGGAGGGACTGAAAGAGGATTGTAAGGGTGGGAGAAGCAGCCTGCGACAGTATGAACTTGCTATTTGAGGCAGACCAGGTAATCCATAAACAGGTTCACTCTCTTTGGTGTCAGAGGTAGGTGAATTAAAGTCCTGGATTCTGGGATGGTCTCATCTGAGGATGGGTTTTGATGAAGTCGGGGTAGCAGTCTCTGAACGTGGCGAGGACTAGATGCCCAAGCCAAAGATGATAGAAGAAGCAGTAAGGAGGACGTCAAAGGAATGAGTTGCACAGCTTGATTATTCCCTGGAAAAGGGCAATGATGCAGTACGTTGGATGCAGTGGATTTGCTCCTTAATACTGTTTTGTATCTGGAGAGAAGACAGATGTCTATTGAGAAGCAGTTGCTTCCCCCTGCTGGCTTTCATACCACAACTACAGCTAAATTTGTCTGACCAAAAAGACTTCTTGTTTACACTTGTTTACAGAAGGATAACTTTTATGTGTTATTGTTTGAGATTTATCTGTTCATTTGGGTTATAAAAATTCCTTAAAACTGAATGAATGGGAGAATGGGAGGTGTTTTTTTTTCTTCAGAGCTCTGCTTCTAAAGTGGCTGGTTATGCTGTAGAGAAGTATGGGAACAGAACTGTGGGAAGAAACTCAAGGAATAGTTACCTCAGGGTAGTCTGTCCTAATGGCAACAAGTTAAACAGTAGTTACATCTGTCCTAATTACAACTTCAGGTTGTTAACCCAGTGGAGTTGAACACCCCACTTTGAGCCATTATTTTTCATTCCCCTTCATCTTTTCTACTGCTGTTGGTTGACAGGAAATTAAAATTCCATCAAGTTTTGCAAGATTTTCAGTGTAATTGTCCTTTCTGAAAGATGCCAGCTGGTGGTTTGCCTTTATGGGTGGTTTGCCCTGTGCCATTGAATCCTGTGCTTGGTGAAACCCATATTCTGCTGGCAGGTGTGCATGACTTGGTACAGAATTAAATCTGAATTCGGTCAGAATCTGGCTCACAGATTGCCTGCTGTGGGAAATGCATTAACAAATAAAAAGAATGTATCACTATCTACAAGATAATTAAATAACATAACATAATGAATGTATCACTATCTACAACATAATTAAGCCATGGAAAGACGAGGAAGTGATTGTAAAGTACAGCACATGCAGAAAAACAGAGTTTTGTCTTGACTGCTTGTCCATTTGCCAAGTCACTGACTAGGCGATATGTAATGTACAAGATCATCCTGACCTGACGAGGAGTTAAGTAAAATTGAGTCATTTGGTGCGCCATAGATAGGCAATGGAGGGTTTCATGGTCTGAATCTGTATCTTTTGAAGATGATAGAAAGCTTATGTTGATTTTGGGGACTATTCAGAATTTGTATAAAAGCATACCCATAACGACAGGCTGAGGAGTATTGCAGCTAGTTGAGCCCATGCAATGAAACCTGGTAGATCTCAGTAACAGGGCTTTTTTGCTGCTAGTGGTTCATGTTATGTTATTGTTCATATACTTGCACACTGCATGCTACTAGGTTATGTGACGTGCTAGCTTATGTGCTACAACAGTGTGCAACAGAGAATGATTTTATCACTTAGTGGCTTCCTCTAATAAGGAAATAAGTGCCTGATTATTCAGGTTACATGGAAGTTTAGTCATGAATGTGATTGATAAATGATGGAGTGCTGAAGTTATGAACACATCTGTGTGACCAACAGAGACCAGGGGAGTGAAGGGAGAGGCATGTTCCACCAACTGCTTTCTAGCTATAAAAGCAAACCAAAACATGCTTAAAAGCTTTGTTTTTAATTTCAGTTCTGAGTTACTTGGTTAGGCACCCACAGTAACCTACAGCCTTTAAAATCCTGAGAAAAGACTGAGTGAAAAGAAGCTGAAAATACCGTGAAGGTTCCTCACTGTTGTCTAAGTAAAGACAAGAACTAGCGGAACTGGGGCCAACACCTAGGTGAGGTGCACCTTATGCTTTGAAATTTGCCAGAACAGCTGATTTCTGGAATCTAGATAAGCTTTTCTGTGTGTTTTTCTGTATAGTAAGTATGATTTCAAGGGTAGGAAGATGAGTGAATACTCCTTCTCTTCTGGAGTTACTGATGCATGAATTGAACTTCCAACTTTCTGTATGGAAAGGTGTACCTAAATGTAAAATAAATATTTTTATTTACTATTAGTATAGTAATAGCTGTCTTACTCTAGAAACCTCTCATGGAAGGAAGGGGTACTGCCCCCTCTAGATGTCTCTCTTTCTCTACAGAGGGCTTGGGTGACTGTCACACTGGAGCTTAATTCTGAGACAGCTAAATTGAAGTGAGAAAAATTCTATTGCAGAGGTTTATAGGGGAGCACATTTTAACACTTTTTAACACTTACTGAACAAATGAAGCTACAGAAGACACAAATTCTCATAAAGCAAAATCATTGCAGCTCAGGCTTCTATTCAAACTCGGAGGACTCTGATACAGGAGTAAATTGAGTTTATTTTTCAATATTGAAATAAAAGAATCACTTTTGAGGAGCTTAATTCTGCACGTTTATACAGAAATTCAAGCCCCATCTTCTCTGAAGTCCATTGAATGTTTTCTCTAATCTTAAGGCAGCTACCAAGAGCATAAAAGACCAACAGCCCTTCTCTAGCAGTACTGAATTGGAAAAGGTAGTAATGAGTCTGTATGGACATTAACCTGGCTATACTGACAGTGTTTGCAGCCAGACCATAAGGCAGTGATCCTTTCTTATCCTGTTTCTGCTAAAGTTTTACACAGTATGGACATAATAAATGAGAAAAAAGGTAGGAACATAAATTGACATCAGTGGTGGCAAGGAAGGTACTAGATTGACTGCTCTGCTTTCTTTGTTCCAGAATTCCAGCAGCGCTTCGAAGAGCTCCTCTTTCAGTTGTGACAAAGCATCACGGCAAGTATTTCTTTCCTATTTTGTGTAGTACTGTCACATAGTGCTGTGGTGGGTTTAGGTTTTGTTACTTGTGGTTATAGTTTCTGCGAGTTCAGTCTTCTGCAAGACATGTCCTGCTCTGCACAGACCATTTTTACAATCCCTGTCTGGGAAAACAGCTGAGCCTATTTGCTGAGCTTACTTTTAACTTAATGAATGTAATCCTCTGATTAAGAAGGACAAGGTAAGGTGCCTGCTTGTGCCCTCAACCTGTAAAAGAAGTTCAGCAGTATCTGTAGACTAACCTGTGAGAATAACTGCATTACACTGGTGTCTGTTGCATTTTGGAGACTGGTTTTGGATTCACTTTGGTGTTACTCAGAGCAGATTTCAGGATGCTATCTTCAGTGTTTTACAGGTCACTGGTGAATCTACCTATTTTTAAGCATTTGTACAGACTTAGGTACCTATATGTTTTCAGTGTAACTTCTGAATCTGTTGCACTAGTGTTAGTCAAAGTTGCTTACATTGCTCCTTTTTTACATTATTGATTGCAGAGATTTGCTCACTGTAGTTTTGATGCAGAGAACTCTGATGTTTGGCTAACTCTTCTTGCATACTGAACCCAGTAATTTGAGCTCTGTAGCATTTAGTAAGTTGTAATTGTAATGAAAATACTGGAAACATCACATGCTTGACTATGTGAGTCCAAGTTGGAGTCCCTTCCATTAATAGGCTATGTTTGTTCTTGGCTGCTTTACTCTAAACTGACACATCAATTTCTTCACAGAAGTGCAGACTTTGATCACATTATGGAGGAGGGCTATGAACTTGACCTCACTTACATCACAGAACGGATCATCTCTGTCTCCTTCCCTGCTAGCTGTTCTGAGGAAACTTACCTCCACAATCTGCAAGATGTAACCCGGATGCTCAAATCCAAACACGGTGATAATTACTTGGTATGTGTAGGATCAGTCATTTGTGACATATCTTACGTCTTGCAGGAAGACCACTTGTAGGTCCACATGTATCATTATAAACTAGAAGTCAGTCATCTAAAACCTCTTTGGTCCACCTTTACAGCTGTGTCAAGCAAGAGTAAGTAGGTGTTAAGATGTTAGGCAAGGACAGATTGAAGGAGGTGATCCTGCCTCTCTGCTCTGCTCTGCTCTTGTGAGACCCCACTTGCAGCATTGCGTGCAGCTCTGGTGTCCTCAACATAAGAACATGGAGCTGTTGGAGCAAGTCCAGAGGAGGCCACAAGGATGATCAGGGGCTGGAGCACCTCCTGTATGAAGGCAGGCTGGGAACATTGGGGCTGTTCAGCCTGGAGAAGAGAAGCTGCGTGGAGACCTCAGAGCAGCTTCCAGTGTCTGAAGGGGGCTACAAGGATGCTGGAGAGGGACTCTTCATCAGGGACTGTAGTGATAGGACAAGGGGTGATGGGTTCAGACTGAAACAGGGGAAGTTCAGGTTAGATCTAAGGTAGAAGTTCTTCCCTGTGAGGGTGCTGAGGCGCTGGCACAGGTTGCCCAGAGAAGTGGTAAATGCTTCATCCCTAACAGTGTTCAAGGCCAGCTTGGACAGAGCCTTGGGCAGCCTGGTCTAGGGTGAGGCATCCCTGCCCCCTGGCCGTGGCATGGGGTTGGAACTGGGTGATCTTAAGGTCCTTTCCAACCTTAACTGTTCTTGATTCTGTGATTAAAAGTGCTTTTCCTCTGGTGGCGCTGCAGTCTCTGTTGTGATAGCGCACAAATGCTGTAGAATAATTGCACTGACCATTTTCATTGTTCAAAGCATGCTTTTAAAAGAACACACTTTGAAATGTGGAGCAGCCAGCTAGCTACATGTGGGTCCTCAGCGTTGTATCTGATGGTCTCTCACCATCATGTCTTGGCTGTCTGTACTATATACTGTGAAACAACATAAAAGCAGGATTGCTGTTTGCACGTTCTGTCCAGCTCTTTCTCATTAACTTGATTTAGATGCATTTTTTCCCTGCTCCTTGGTTTTCTGTAGGAAGTTAAGTTGTAAGCAAATCTATAATGAGCTCATATGCAGAGTATCTTGGTTTTTAAATGACCCAGACTGTTCATCTTCTGTCCTGTTTCTCACCTATGGCATATATTGTCTCAGCTTGTGCTATGAAGATGAATTTAAAACAGGGCCAGTATTTTTTTTTTTCTTCTACTGGCTTAGAGTGAACTAAGAAATATTTAAACTGTGAAAACAGAATAAAGCATGTGTAAGCTATTACAGTCAAATCCATGCTTCAGGAACGTGAACTTGACTCGCAGTGGAAATTCATTTCTGGAGAGATTCCACCTAATGGTTTAAATACATTATCTTTTGCTCACAAAGTGAGGTGTCATAGGTGCATTATGAACCAGCTCTTGTCCTGAAGATGCACTTGTACTGTGGTCTGGTGGCCTCAGCATGCCACCTCCTTGCTGTTGGCTTCCTCTCCATCAGGCACTGGTAGCTTGTAAGGGACAAGATAGTAAGTTTGAGGATGATCTGGATGTAAGGCTTTTACTGGTTCAAACTCAGCTCTTCTAAGTGGCCTTCTCTGTGCAACAGCAGTGCTTTTGTATCTGTGAAATAAGTTTGTAGTCTCAGTTCAGTTAAATCTTACTAAATAGCTGTTTGTATTACAAAAATCTGATCTATTGTAAGTCTTGTTTAGGGTGTCCTCTGTCTAAGTGGGATTGCAGTCTGATTCTCTTGCAGAGTTTGGATGTGTTGGTTTTGGGTTTATTTTAGTTTAGTTCTATTTATTTACTTGTATTCTAATGAGCGCTTGGGAAATTGGCTGGCTTGGTCAAAAGGAAGTTTGATGCTGTCTGCTGCAAGTATGTTTCTACAACTTTGCAAGATAACCTGGCAAACCACAGCGACGTTGTAGATCCAGAGCTCATTTTAAACTCTTTTGTTTCTCATGTTTCAAAGGTGCCTTCAGTCTGCCCCAGATGCACATGTGTAACAGCAAAAAAACCCAAAGCCAGTGCAAACTTGAGGTTGTTCCCTCTCATAGAATCATATAGAATGGTTTGTTAGTGATTGATACTGTTTTAAAGTTCTTCTTAAGGAGTCCAATATACTTGTATACTTCCTCTTTTTGTTAATTTAGCAGTCTCTCTTTTTAACTGTTCCTTATTAAGCACTAGGTGTATGTGATTTAAAAGAGTTGGAAGATCTCACAAGCTGAGCTATAGTTAAATAGTTAATAGCTATAGTTAAATAGCTGTGCCGTATCTTCCCTGTGAAGTTCTGGCAGAGCAATATCTTCTTGCCAGGCACTCCAATTCAGACATTTAACACTGTACCACCCTCCCCCACTATTCTTTGTTGATTCTTTTGCCATGCAGTTATTTCTCAGGGTGCCCAGGTCCCTCATAGCTCTGACTCAATTAAAGCCATGTGAAATAAATAAAATACAGCAAAAGGCTAATTATCCTTTTTCAACGTGTGCATCTAGTTTCATCTTGTAATAACTGAACACCTAATATACATTTGCTAGCGCTACTTGACTTCAGATGTTAATTCAGTAAAGGAGTGGCAAACCTGAAGTCTTACAAGTGTAGTTTCTTTAGCCATTATGTGTTTCAAATACAGCTGTTTACTACAGCAGTTCTGAAGTCTTGATGGTTGATGCTTTTTTTCTTTCTTTTTAAACAGGTGTTAAACCTCTCTGAAAAGAGATATGACCTTGCCAAGCTTAACCCAAAGGTATTGCTTGTCTTCTCGAACATCTTTTTCCAGTGTTAAAGACAGCTGAAATGGCCTCATAAGCCCTGAAGCTGTGCAAGCATTGGTACACAGATTGAGAGAACAACTTTTGGAAGATGATAGAAACACACCCACTTGCATCCCTTTTTATTTTCTCCCAAGTTCTTGTTTGTGTCTGTTAGGGCTGTGCCTTATAATGCTGTTCCTGTTGTTCCCTTAGATTTTGCACACAGGACCTGAAGCCTGTTATGACTACTGAAAAATTCCTATTCAGTGATACGAATTTTACTCCAAGTATACTTTCTTGGTGCAGTCACTGGATACTAAGGGTTATATACTGTAATGTACAGCCTGACAGCTGAAGCTAGTGAGCTCAGTTCAAATATAGACTGCCCTTTTATATCATCACTTCATAGTTGCTTCTCTGCACCATAGAGACGTGTCAGAATTATGTCTGCCTTTTGTTCTTCCTTACTAATTATTGTATTTGTTGTAAAAAATGATATGCGGTTACTCTTCAGCAGCTATCATAAGGCCAGAGTAGCACAAATGTCTGTTTATAGCAGTAGATTTACAGGGATATACAATACCTGAGGAAAATATTAAAAGAACTCTCAATTTTGACCTTTTGAATGCTTTCTTGATCATGAAGAATTTAAGTTGTTCATGGTTACAGCCTTTGTTTGGGTTAACTGTGCATATAATAACAACAGGTTGAGTAAACTATTATATAGTGACTAAGGTTGAATGTTAAATATGAGCAGAACTTTGAGATGTCAAATCTATTGCACTCAAAGGGAATACATCTCAAATTAAAAACAATCCCAAAACACTGGACCAGGCCAGTTAACATTCTTTTGTTCTAATTTTGACTTTCTAAGTATTTTACTGTTATAAAATACTTGAATTTCTAAATGAAAATTGATCTAATAAATTAAGAACTTCAGAAATGTCACTTGTGAGTGGTTGGTGGGCTTGGGGAGGGGAGGTGTTGCATATCTCTTTTTACAGAAGTACTAGTATCTTAAATCACCTTCCTCCCCTGAAGAGACCTGGAAGCATGTTTATTTACATAGTGGCATTTGAATAGGGTTCAAATAAATGGGGAGTCTCTTGACCATCGTAATTATTTTAAGCCAGATTTTAATATGTAGTATTAGGATCAAGGCGTCTCTTGTGACTGTTACTCGTTTAATTGCAGATTATGGATGTGGGATGGCCTGATCTCCATGCTCCACCTCTCGACAAGGTGTGCACCATCTGCAAGGCCATGGAGTCATGGCTGAACAATGATCCTCAGCATGTGGTCGTGATCCATTGCAGAGTAAGTGAGCTTTGTGTGTGCACATCACGTAT